TCCCAGCTCAACAGACGTGGGAGCCGTCTTCCCAGGTGGCAAGCTTTCTCGAGCTGGTACAGCCAAACACAGGGGAGCTTTCTCTACTCCGTATTGAAGGTCATTGGGAAGCTTACACTTAACCGGAGCTTAGGGGATCTGTCCTGGCCGGAGGTCCTCCCTTCTTCCCCAGCATTTCCCAACAGATGGTGACGTTCATCTCACATACTTGGGGCAAGTTGTTTGGAGAGACTCTTCTTCGAAAAGAGACCTCAATCACACTTGGAAAGGTAGAGGGTCTGCAAGAGAAGGCTCTCAACGAGATGGATTCGCACAGTGGCCCCAGCAACAGGCTTGAGTATGTCAGAGATGATCAGGGTGGTTTAAGAAGGGACAGAGTTCAGATGTGTTGTTCATAAGGTCTCTAACAATTGTATTTGACTTGCTGGCACGTATCAAGAACACCATTGAAGAGCTGCCTTTTATATGACACAGTCCAAGCACAGGGAAAAGTAAGTATTTGAAACAGTGTGAGGAGTCCATAACACTTCTCAACCTTAGCTATGAATGTTGTTTTGGTTTGGCTTCTTTGTTTTGCTGTTGTTGTTGTTGCTTTATTTGGTTTTAGAAGACAGAAATAAGATGATAAGGAATGGAGCATGAATACATATATCGCTAAGGATTTGGCTAAGATAGATTGACTTTGTTAATCGATGTTCTTTCTTTACTTTTTATATTTAAAAACTAATGAGTAATGTAAATACACCGTAAGGAGGGTCATGTGTAAATACAAACTTCAACTCGCAGGTTCTCAGAATCATCTTTCAAAACAGCATCACTTAAAGGTAAGGATTCTTTCTTGTATCTCACTGCTTCCTCAGTTTGTTGTATCCTTCTTGGATAATGACAGATGCATTAATGCATTTACTAACTATAAGTGTTATGGTGTTATGTAATTAAATTCGTTTAAAACTCTAAAAGAAATGAATATATAAATAGTAGGAGTGCTAATCAAGTTGGTTAACAGCCCTCCGGAAAGGTAGAGGAGAATAACTTACTTAAAGTCCTGGTTTCCTCTTAATGCTAAGTAGTGGAACTCCTTCATGACCTCACGGTTTTATACATATTGAAGCAGAATTAGGTAAAACTTCACGAACTCTATAATTAATTAACTCTGTGATCAAGAACAAGTTATTTCTTGGGTACTTAGTTTTTCTCTCTATAAAATAGAATGTCTAATCATGTTGTGATAATAGAATACATGAATAATAATAGTATTTTCTGTAGAATTTATTGAATAAAAGTGCTATGTGTGCTGTCTCATTATATGAAAACACATACTCAAACTGTGGGTGCTTCACAATAGTTCATTGCGTCATTCTTACCTTCCACAGTGCCTAGCACAGGGTCCACGTGCTCCAATGACTTGTTGCTTAATTAAATGTTTTTAAAGTTCTCACACATAGTACATTTATCTACTCACATATTTTAAATCTCATGGGAATGATTTCAGTGAAGCTATATTTCCAAAGATTCTACTCATATAGCTTCTATGGACTTAAATATGGATATTATTATTTTATGTTGCTGTTGTTATGTGCAGTCAAGTCACCTGCAACTCAGAGTGACCCTATGTACAACAGTCCTAAACCTTGCTCTATCCCTTGCCAATCTTATTATCTCTGACACACCTAGTCCTGTTACCCCAGTCACTGAATCAATCGGTCTCATCTAGGGTCTTCCCCTCCTGCGTTGTCCCTACACCATCCAAAGCATGATGTCCTTCTCCAAGGACTGGATCCTCCTTGTAACATGTCCAAAATAAGCCAGATGAAACTTCAGAATCCTTGACCCCAAGGAGCAGCCTGGTTTAATCCTCTCCTGGATGAACCTGTTTGTTCTCTCAGCAGTCCATGGTATATTCAATACTCTTCTCCATCAGCACAGCTCAAAGGCATCATTCCCTCTATCATTTATAGTCATTGCCCAGCTTTTGATGCATAGCAAGTGATTGCAAAGACCATAGCCTGTATCAGGCCACCTTAAGTATATTTAATATTATTATTTCTGTTGTTATATTGACTCATAGCTAACCCTTCAGTGGGTTTTCAGAAGTAGAAAATTACCTAGAAAGAGCATGCCCATCTTTGTCCTGTGGAGCAGCTAGTAGATGCAAACAGCGTGTCTTTAGAATTGCAGCACAGCTTCTTAGCACTAGGCCAAGGGACCAGAGCTCCCTTAGATATTGGAAAAAAAAAGGAACTCTTCAGGATTCTGTTCATGTGAAAATTAGAATCATAAACAACTAAGGTGGTGACTGTCAGATTCGCTCAGATCTGGCTATCAGGACTGGAAATGGATAATGAGCAAATTCATCTTTGTTAGTGTTTGCAGAATGGACCTCTTCTTGAAATCCCATCACACAATTCACAACAATCGTCAAAGACAACCCTTTCTCATCAACACCGAAACTATGAGACGACTAGCTAAACCGTCCACTACAGATTTAGAGTTCAGATATCCAATAAAACAAGAGGTGATGTCATTATTTTTTAAAGTTTTAAATGAATTTCAAAAGAAACATTTTCATTTTCAGGAGAAAGTTATTATTGAGAAGTAGTGCTTGACCACTACGTTCTGGTTGTACTAGATGAATCATAGAGAAAGATATTGAAGCTGAAGTGCAAGACTTGATTCCATCCATCACTTATCACTTCCACCAGTCACAAACAACAGTCAGTTAATCATGACTAACACTGGAAATGGTTTTGCTCAAATATTAAACTATTAACTCTTCTGGACAAAGCAAAACTGTAAGTAACACAGGCTAATCTCATTGCCATTGAAGTTTTGTTCAATATTAATGGACTGGTTACAATAAGGCATCAAAACAAATAATGTTTGGGTTGAGGTTGAGGGTCAAAATAGGGTGAATGGAAATCTTGTGGCCTACTGGCAAGAAACTGTGCTGCAATCCCAAAGACAGCGGTTTGAGGCCACCAGCCACTCCAAAGGAAAACAATGTCAGCCTCCGCCTGTGAGATTAGTTGCCTCTGATAACCCATCGGAGGGTCAGCTGTGGGTCAGTTCTGACTTTGCAGTACCCACCAATAATACAACATCATCATCTCCAGACTAAATTTATTGTTGAAGGATGATCTTGTCCTATTTCTCTACTATTTGTGTTCCATTTCTAGGTAGTAAAATAAGGTAGTTATTACCACACTGTCTTCACATCCAACACCTTCTGGTGAATTAAAAAAAAAAAAAAAAAAGGATGTCAAACCAGCAGATAAGCATAATGCAAAGGTAATGCCTTGGCGAACGTCACATGCAGTGGATGTTGAGTGTATATATTGACCATCTTTTTCTCTCTTGTCTCATTATTTTAGTCTCCCTTATTTCTTCATTTTAAATCTTGTTAGCTATACTCATTGAAAATACAATTATACAATTCTTTTATAGACATTTTCTCTTCTTTTTATCTTCTCTCTTTCTCTGAGTACATTTTGAATCCATCTTGAAAACTTTCTCTGAGGTAAGCTAGCTATTTCTAGTAGTCATAACCATACCCTATACACACACACATCTATGCATATGCACACGTATGTATATATGTACATAGAGAGAGAATACATAAATTCTTTTCCCACAATTCCTCACTTGTACATACTTTTTATTTTACATTTCCTTCTTAGGATCAGTAATTAATTTTTCTCATACTGGTAAGCATTTAGTCAATAAGAATAATTATATATTTTAATTTCTCCTTTTTGGTAATTTAGTAATTCCTTTTTTGGGACAATGATAGTGTTCATTTGATATCTCTTCCAGTTTTCTGGCCTTTTGCCTTCTGGTCTGTCTCTTAAATCCACACCCCCTTTCTCCACTCCTTTTCTGCTCAACAACTCTTTTCACGTGTGTCTCTGTCAACAAATTCATCAGCTTCTTGATTGTTAATTCTAAGAATATTTAGCTTAGTTTTCAGTCTTTATGCCAAGCACTAAAACAATTGAAGTGCTTCTATCATTTTGTACATGCTAGCTCTGACATTGCTCCTGTCTTAGGTAGTACCAAAGATATATCACCAGTGTAAGGAAGATGGTTTAAAATGCATACTTTTCTAAAAATTTATAATCAGTTGTTTATTTTCCACTGACAAGACCCCAACCATCTGTTAATCAGTCTCACCTGCAACTGTACATTCATTTAAGTTACTGTCTTTGATATTTTAAGTTAAAAAAAAAAACCCAAAACATTCAACCACTGACAAATTCTTCTTTGTTTGTTTAAGGAATCAAAACAAATTTGTCAGTCTGCACCTTCAGTATCATTTTGTCTTACATAGACTTCTCCTACTCTTCTATCTTTCCCATTCAAGTCAGTGATCCACAAAGTTTGTTTTTAATCTCCTGCACACATGGTTCAATGTATATAACTCCTTCAAATGTCACTTTCAAAAACCAGCTTTACTTTTGACAATCAAACCCTTCACATGTTCACTGCGATGCAGACAAGGAAAAGAGAGCAGAAACTTTTGAGTCAATGAAACAAATAAAAAAAATCAGCTTTGCTAATTCAGGGTAAATACCTGTGTTGTGTATTTGCTTATTTATCACACTTCTCTATGTGCAAATTTGACTAATAAGTCTTCTTTATAGTATAGCCATTTTACATTTGCTTTCAGCAATGTAATAATAATAATAATAATAATATTGTTTTAAATTCACCTAATCTAAGAGCAAACATTGTTAAGACTTACATCAGAAAGAAAATGATCTTAAAGTTCTAGGTCATGGCTGGCTAGGCTCTATTAGCCTGACTCATCAGCATCCCTTTATCAGTCCCTGCACTTTTAAAAGACATCCGGCCAGATGCTGTGTTAAATTGCTCTAGCTAGTCCTTCACAGCATCAGCATTGCCCTTTTTTTTTCTTTTCTCCTCCCTTTCTCTCTCTGTACATATAGAAAGTTCCCTCATTGCCCGTCCCTCTTCCCCCAGTATTTGATATTAAAACTTACCGCTTTTACCAACTCCCCCTGCTCCCAGCATCACCACCTTGTACTCTCTGGACCCGCCTGATGCACTGCCCGCGGAGATGCTGGCTTCACTTTCTCCCTCCATCTTACCCGAGGGACTGAGAGAAGGCAAAAGTCATTCGTGTCAGGTGCCTCCTCTGATATTAAACAACTCTAAAACTGTGGCAAAAGAAAGGTTTGGCACGCGGGAAGAAGCATCAGCTCCCAGGCTGGCTGCTGGTCCTCTGCTTGAGCGGGTCTCATAGCAACCGCTTCAGTTGCTTCCAATGAAAATCTGACTTTTACACAAACCCCCTCCTTCGGATCCTTCGCTCTTGCACGTCTCCCATGCTCTTCCTCTCTCAGTTTCTCTTTCTTGTCCCTCCTCTATGTCATCCCCATTTCCCTTCCTCCCCTTTCGTCTCCTCTCTCGCTTCCTGCCACCTTCCCCCTCCCCCAGCCTCAGTTGTTAGAGGCAGTTTGCTGGCTGCCTTCCAGCCTGGGCTGCTAGAATGAAGTGAATGTAAGATTTAATGAAAGATAAAAAGTTACAGGATGACGCCTATAATGTCAGCTTTAAAGTCACTATTTTTTTTTTAAATTACCATTTGTCAATTATTTCAGAAATGGTTTTGGATGCTGTCTTGTCCGTTTTTATCATCCCTTTGTCACAGTTCTCAGTCTGGGTAAGGGATGATGTCAAATTAGGAGAGAAAAAGAGGAAAACTGAAACCAAAGGTTCTTATGAATAGATTTTTAATGTTGTCGTGATGACATCTGGATAGCAGGCATGGCTTCAGCTCATTCAACAGTTGCAAATCTAAGACCTTAGGTATATATTTTAATTGGGCTCTTGTGCTGCTCAAAACAATTCTCCTATACCTTGGATTATTAGAGGCAAACTAAGACACAAGAAACCTGTCAAGCATCAATAAAATAATGAATATTTTGCTTATAATTTTGGCAGCATAAAAGCTTATCACAGATTTTTTTCCCAAAAAAATATTAAACCTTTACTCTCTATTTAAATTCTTTTACGCCTTTAGGGTCTTTGGATTAATCTGAAGAGCTTCTAAGCGACACATGTCTAAAGAAGCCTTCAGTATTCCCCAATCATCACAGTATGATCCTGACCTTCAAATTGATCTGGGTGTTGTTGACTGGTTTATAAGTACACAGTTTGGATTATGATCAGATACTGTGAAATATTTGGTGTAAGTAAGCTTGTCTCTCTAAATTTCAAGTTCTTCTAAGAAAGAAATTTTTTAATCAAGTGGCTATGACTCTACACTGTATGACCAAGTTCTGGGCATATGATACAATGTTAATATAAAGTTATTGGACATTTCAGAGAGACCAAAGTATAATAGTTAAGAGAACAGATTTTTGTTTTGTATCTTCAAGTCAGAAGCAATACATAGCTGACCCTGAGATGGATTTACAGAGGCAGTTAATGGCACAGGAAGAAATGGTCCATCCTTATCCCGTGGAGTGCCTGGTGACCTTGAACTGCCTGCATTCTGAATCTCAGTGCAGCTTCTTGCCACTAGACCAAATACAGATGTTAATGTTGTTGTAAGTGCCTTTAAGGCATTGCTGTACAGAGGTAACTCGTGGTTGCTGTGATGCTGAAGACTGTGACAGTGATGTGCCAGTTGTGGTAATGGGCACCCATGGTGGACAGTGTTGGCTGGAGCTTCCTGACTAAAACAAGCCTGGAAGCAGGAGCGGCATCCACTTCTGAAATGGCTTGCCTCTGGAAACTCTATGTATGAACAGTGCTCAGGCTGTGACTCGACGGCACCAAACAACAATAGCAACGACAATGACAAAGAGAGAGCTACGTAGGCCTAGTGGAAAGAAAGTTATGCTACCAAGACGGCACCAAACAACAACAAAACAATTGCCTTCAAGTCGTAGATGACATAGCGACCCTATGAACGAAGACCTGAACACTTGTATAACTTTCCTCATTTCTCCAAGCTCATAGAATTTCCAGAGGTAATCTATTTGAGAAGTGGATGCCAGTCCTACTTCCAAGCTTGTTTTAATCTGAGAACTCCACTAAACACTATCCACCATGGGTAGCCATTATCGCATTTGACACATCAGTGTCACAGTGTTTAGCATCACAGCAACCACGAGTTACCTCAAGAACGGATTACTTACATTTAAATCTGGCCTCAACCTTTACTAGCTGAGTGACCTCGAACTAAGTATTTATCTTTCTGTGCCTCACTTTCTTCAATTTTCAAATGGTTTATCAAGCCCTTACTTTTTTCCCCCCTATAATTATATTTTATTAATTTTCATAAACATTTATAGAGATTTTGGGTTTTCATTCATTCATTGTTGCACTACTTTGTTAATTCTTTAGGTGAGTTAATATTTGTACAGTGAATGTCTAAACTAGTATATGGCAAATGGTGGTGGTTGTTGTTGTTGTTGTTGTGCACTATTGAGTCAGAACTGGCCCATAGCTGACCCTTTAGCGGGTGGAGATTGCCTATCCTTCTCCTACATCACAGCTGGCTGGTAGATTTGAACTGTGTGCCTTTAGAATTGCAGCACAGATTCTTACCGCTAAACCATCATATTATTGTTGTATTATTTTTAAGACAATGACCCCCCCCCACACTGTTAATTGTCTATAAGCACTCACCAGGAGAGAAGATAATCTCTTTTACGTGTAAGGAACAATAAGGTCATTTCTGTATTTTTGCAGAAGGATCTGTCTAAGCTTTCTGTTCATTTTAAAATTAAAAGATCATGTCACTTTCTTATTAATGAGCTTTAAAATGGGTTTGCATTTGTTGGATGCAAACCTTTCACACAGAATTGTGTTCTATATATTTTGCCCCATTCTTTGTCTTACTAGAAAATTATTCTGTTGTAGACCACAGAGAGTTGACCAGCTAACACAAAACCTGAGATCATGGGTGGTTTAAATCCACCAGTAACTTTGAGGGAGAAAGCTGGGCTATCTGCTCCTATGTAATGTGCACTTTCAGAGACCGAATAGAAGGTCAGCTATTCATCAGTGCTGACTTGAAGGCAATAAGGTTTTTATTTTTATTTCATATTTTATATTATTAATGGTGTTTTCAAAGATCAAGAGTGTCTAATTTAGATAGAATCATATATATATATATATATATATATATATATATATATAATTTTAAAGATTATCAAGGTTGTAAATGGAAAAAAAAATCTAATCATTCTTCCTAACTCCTTTTATATTCCCTTACCCCCTGTCCATTGCAAGTTAAATCTCTTCAAAACATTTGTATAGGTAACTGTCAGATACCACATCTGTAACACTAGACCAAATTCTCTCTCTGAATTGCAGAATTACATAAAGCTTCCTCCAAGATGTTCGCATTAAGAAGACTCTTGTATCTGAAAGTAGGTATTTCTGAAACAATTTTTGTCATCTCCACTAAGTATACAATGATTGCTTTCTGTCTTCACAAGGGACAGCGTCACATACAAAATCCTGAAATGAATTCACCTTCTTGTTATATGTGACGTCTGTGGCCTAAATAGTTCATGACTTGCTCTCTTTGAGTTCAAGCTCTTTTCCCTTTTTTCCTTTTTCATACTCCATTCACGTTTTCCCCTATACATTGATATAATGGACATCCACTTACAATATAGAAAAGACTTACATCTCTCCCATTTGTACATATAGTTAGTTCTAAGTCAAATACTTAGAAAACGTGATATTTAATCCTACAATAGCACATTGGGACTTTTAAAAATTTAATTATCATATCTCTATATATCCCTCACACTTTGTATGTTAGAGACAGGTGAAATGAACTTACCTCTCCTCAAAAAACCCCCCACCATTTCTATAATGAGATTTATAAAGAATGATGGACACAGTATAATGATCCTGTAATAGATAATATGAGACTTCATTCTTAATTAAGGAAACTTCATTGCTTCATTACTTACATAAGTAAATAATAACACTTAGTGTCAAATCTTTCTGGATTTTGTTTCTAGTTCAAAGCTGAAATTCTTATGATTTTGGTCAAGTTACATGTCTCTCTGCCAATAGGACCCACCATTTGTTACCCTGCTTTCAACAATTCATGTATAGTGGTATAATGCAGGAATTGTAATGCTGTCCTTGACTCAGGCCTGTCTCTGGTTTATTTTACTTTAATATCAGTTAAGGGAAAAATGTACATGGAATTACCCCTTTACTAAACAAATGACATGTCAACTATTGATCGACACAGTAGCAAGAAAATGTAACTTGTACGTGGCCTTTCTTCTCAACAGTTAATGTGTCTGCCTGTATTTCTCTTATATCAGTTAGATAGGCTCTGTGTCTTTCTCCTAAAGAAGAAAACAATGAAGGATTTGGAAGTGTTTATAGTTACCTATCTACTTTTTCTTGAAAATTCTAAGGCACTATAGCCCTTTCACAGGAGCTTGAAACCTTTAGACTCATAATTTGGTAATAGTTCAGTTAATGGAGTGTTCTTATGGTGCTGGTTATCCAGTTTGCTAGTTAACTTGGTATGTCTGCATACATTGTGTCTTAACCAGTAAATCCATGAGAATGTGTGTGTGGACGTGTGGGTGTGTGTGAGAAAGAGAGGGGAGAAACTCAAGAAACCTCAGGTGTATAAATGCTGATTGAAAGGGTACCTTTAAGTAACCAAAATCATTACCTAGCAGATTGCTTTGCGCTCAAGCACATTATTAGATGATCAGGCTTTGAATTTGTTTCTTCTAACCTTCCCAGGCAGTAGCAATTGTTTTTGGGTGCATATCATTACCTTTGAGTACTCTTGCCATCAATTGGAGACCCAGGTGTTTAGGACCTACTGAGAAGCACTTGGCTCCCAAAGCAGGATACAAGTACTCTCCACCTCATGAAACTCATAATTGGCTGCCTCTGCCTGCAGCTCCTACCTCTGTCTCTATTGCTTCCTAAAGGACAAAAGGGGAAACTTTTTTATCAAATCATTGATTTGATTTTATCAAATCATTGACTAAAAAGGAATCTCGTGTATCAACGCATTTAAATGCATATTTCTTTAAACTCCTTTAGGAATGACTAAAGCATCTAGTCACTATGATTCATCTACAGAAGGTAAGTTTGGGACTTATAAAGTGTTTTTTTATCTCTTGAATCACTGTCAGTAAAGGTTCCTCACACCACTGTCTGTAAAGTCCCTATTCTCTTTAATAGAGAATTTATTATATTTATGACAAGTGCTTATTTCTATTCCAGTCTACCTTGTTACA